GCTTGAATGAGATTGTCATGGACCTACAAACATCCATAAATTCCATCCATAAAGATCTAAGTCTCAAATGTGCCTAAACTCCATATTACAATAATGAATGGCATTCAAAGAATCCCCCTCGATAATGCAAAAGCCTGATAGCTGCCATTGAGAAACCAATTTGACCCCTTGTAGATCAGCACTCAATTTAGCATCACTCGGAGACACAGTTCTACATGGCCTTGCATAAGAGAGAACATCAACCCCATCAAAGTTTCTCACCACTCCTCTGAATCCAACTTGCCCTGGATGCCCCAAAGAACTACCATCAAAGTTTTATGCAGCCTTGTGGTGGTGGTTCCCATCTTCCTTTCGATCTAACCTTAAGGATATCCTAATTGATCAAATTTCTCAAAATGAACATCACATCTTCATTTGACACCCGCTCCCCTTCCTTGGTAACCGAGAACAGTTGAGAATCCCATCCTATGAGAGAGGACACCAATAGAATTGTCCTATTATCAAAGGGGCAATTTGGAAAAGTGAAAAATGACAACTTGTTGACTAAGTTACGATCCCACACAAATAAGATTTCACGTATCATTTTGATATGGGAAGATATTCCTCAGGATCTCTTTTTATGAGGTTATAGGATAAACTTCTAAATATGGTTGTTATCCCTTGGCCCTTACATAAAAGGGAATACATGAGAGGCTATTATTGCTCTTGGTTGGTTTGAACAAGTCATCTCTCTTGGGTCATTCTTTGGGCGGACACTTCTTGGTGTATTAGAGATACATGAAGCCTTATTGGTGTATCAGAGAAAAATGAATCATTCTTTTGCAGAGAAGAAGAGAGAAAAAATTATCATTCTCTTAGAAGGAATATTATCCGTTTTTGAAGAGAGAAGAAGAAGACAGAGAGTTATTATTCTTCTTAGAGAGAAGAAGAAGATGAAAGAGAGTTAGTGTTCCAGTCTTTTCTTTGTTGTAAAGAAAAGAGGGAGAAGGGAAGAAAAATAAGAGAATATTTTATTTTAAAGAAAGAAAGCCTCTAGAAAAGAAAAGAAGTCACTGAAATCAAAAGGAAATCTTAGATAGAAGTCTTTAAATGAAATCGATGATCCCGAAAAATGTTGTTTCTTGGAAGACTATTGTAACCTATGAGTTTAATGGTGGATTAGTTTATTTCTCCCGTTGACATAACTTGAAAAGGTGAATTACGTAAATCCAATGCCAGTAATATTTATTTATTTATATACTTTATTACATGTTTTTCCACTCATACACACACACGTCGACTTTGGCATAATTGTATTTCTCATATTTCCTGGTTCCGCTATGCACAACAACATTCGTGTGAGAGGGCTCTAAATGGGTGAGCTCAATAAGTGGTATTAGAGTGTGTTTCCCTTGCCGCTTGGTCCTCCCTATCACCATTTTACGGCATAACGAACCTAGCGGTCGTAGGGCGAGTAAGGAAGAATACAAATCCCTTGGGCAGCAGTAATGATCAGACGATGCAACGATCGGGCAGCAGAAACATCTAGACAACACAACAATCGGGTGGGAGTTCATGATCTGGGGGCAGTTCACGATCAGGGGGCAATTGACAACATGGTGGCATTTCACAATCGGGGGTTAGTTCATGATCAGGGGGTAATTAATTGATACGATCGAGCAAATGATATCGCTCAATGGTAGTAATTGGATCATCCGGAAGCCAAAGATGAAAGATCTACTATACTTTTTGGGCTATAAGATATATATTTATCTCTAAACATCGGTAAAAGACCATCACCGATCTTCCCTTCTAAAATCGTTCTCCCGACCAAGCAACATCATCGATCAATACCACCTTTCCCACTACAATACCGCTACCAGAAAGATAATCTTAACAGCAACCAAGAGATTTTCTCTCTCTAGAAGTGGAAACAAATCAATCCAAAACTCCATGGGAATGCCACCTCTCTCTCGGAGTTCATGTCTCTCTCTCTTGAAAACCGATTTCAAGCTTGGAGATCCCTTCTCATAACCTTCAAAGGGATAACCTTCAAAAGAATAAGATATTATGTCTTCATTGAGTCTCTTATATTGATATCACTTTTTTGCTTCCCAAGAAAGTCTATTTTTATTATACGATAATACCCTTAATCTTTTTTAAAAAAAAATGGGTATAGCGATTTGGCTATCACCAAACCCAACAATCTTCACCTTGATAACAAAATCACCATAACTACCTTGGCGACCTTCATTAGATAGATTTTTTTATTTCTTCACACTTGGCTCCAATGTGGAATTTTCACAAACTTTGCCTTCATATTTCTCCACCTCAAACCATGTATCTCAATCAAGTTTCGCCATTCATTTTTTTCTTCATATAAACCTTAGCTCCATACACACCTTGTGCTTTGATACCTTGTGCTCTGATACCAATTATAGGGCTTTTGGTAACCCCTAGCTTGCGGAACCAGGAATCTCAAATACTGGGATCCCACCCAAGATCGTGTATATGATTGGTTAAATATAAAGTAGATGAATACAACTATAAATCGAATGCGAGAAATAGAGCAAACATAAAAAAGACATACCACCACAATATACGATTTACGTGGTTCACCCCATATGGTCACATCCACAACTTCAGCAAGTCAAAATCCATTATCATAATGACGATTACAGTTTTTGGTTACAAGAGAATATTGCTCTCTAAACATCAGTAAAAGACTATCATCGATCTTCCCTTCTAAACCCGCTCTCACGATTGAGCAACACTGTTGATCAATATCTTATTTCTCACTGCAAAACTGCTACTAAAAAGATAACCTCGAAAGCAACCGAGAGACTTTCTCTATCTAGAAGTGGGAGTCTTATACAAAAGTAATGGGAATACTACATCTCTTTCCGAGGGCCATGTCACTCTTTTGGAGGCTCATCTCTATATTGGAGATTCATTCCCATAAGCCTCGTAGGGTTGTCCTCAAAAGGATTGGTATTATGCTTTAATTGAGTCTCTTATATAAATATCACTTTCTTGCTTTCCAAAAAAATCCACTTTTATTTTACAATAATATTCTTAATCTTTTATAAAAAAATATGGGTATATAGTGATTTGGCTATCACCAAACCCAACACACTGGTCCAAGCCCTAACTTTTTAGGCCCATTACCAACCAACTATAGTGAGGAGATGTATCCTTTCATAAATAAACGAAAGAAGACCCTAATAAGCCTCTTTCCCAACCTATACCCCAAAGTTTCGGCGTATAAATCGAAAGGATATCCACTAAATGACTATGCATAAAATAAATAAATAAAACCAAAGAAGAAGAAAGCCAAAAATAAGCAAAAGAAACCCATTTCAAACGGTTCCCGCAAGGAACGTTTTACCTCTACTTTTTATATAAAAAAAATTGTCATGGAAATGACAATAGTGCCCCCAATCTTTTCTCAAATGGTTAACAAGGCCTTGTTCCTTGGTTTTGACTTTCAAGTGCCATGAACCACCCTTATCTTTTATGAACATATTATCATTTGGTAAAGTATACAACAAGACCACCGACCTTTAATATCGAGAGGTAATAGTCCTTTTTAATCTTTTTACATATAATGACTATAAAAGATTGTGACTTTTTTGTACCAAAAATTAGACGTATCAATTTTTATTTTTGATTATTCGAAATCAAACCATACAATTCGGTATCATTTTTCCCTTGTATCAAGCTATTCAGGTCATTTTGTTAAAAGATTTCGAAGTGACTAGGAAATGTGGCCGAGGGCAAGATGGTAGGATTGGAGGAACAAGGGCATTTTTGGCAAAATGATCCAAGGTTACTTTAGATATTTCCCAAGGAAAATGGTGGCGTTTTAGTCATTCCCCTGTTCAACCTTTCATATGCGATTCATGTCCAGTAGGTGTACGTACCTGTATCATTCAGCTGAAATTCTGAGATTTCTGGTAATTTTTTAACAGAGCCTTTCTTTTAGTTTGACATTTTAAAAAAATTTATTGTATTTTCAGGGAATCGTATGATGCATGTATACACCTTTTGTATATTTAGCCCCTATATCATATTGCTAATTTTCTTTTTCATTAAATTAATTTAAGGTATTTATGATCAATTTTATTTTAGTTTTACATCCTTATTCTTTTGAGATTAGCAAAGCCTGTAACTATTTAAAAATGATTGCACGGTAATAACATTTTTAATTTGTCATTCTATTAAGTAAATGCATTTTGGAGGTTTGTATCTTAATTTGCGAAATACCAATTTTAAATTTCTTCTAAATTTTTTGGTTGATTTATCTGGGATTGTCTATTGATTGTTTCAAGAGAACGAAATAACACATGCAGCATTTCAAACTTACAAAATCAACGAGTTAGTTATTGCTAGTATTGGAAATTCATCTACACATTTAAACAAAGAAATTCAAGCCTCTCTTTCATGTGTAGTTTTGATTGGTTCAGTTACAATCTCAATGAATGTTAGGACGGGTCTTCGAAGAGGTCATATATGTGAATTGGTTTGAGGATCTGAAGTAACACGCATAGAATACAAGATGTGCAAGCTATTATGCTGCTGTTATGGAGGTAAAAAAGAACCTCATGCTCAGCCTGTCAACCAATCTACAAACCCATCAAGTGGACAAACGCGTGGTAATAATTTTGCCAGCTCCTCTGAATTCATCAAATCAAACACCGTTAATTTTACAAATTTTTAAGTCGTGCCCATGTTTGATTCTTAAATAAAATTTGCAGAGTCTCCAAAAAACTGATGTTGTATCCATCATCAGATGGAAGTTGCAGATCACATTATCTCTTTCTGTATGGGTGTCATGTGCTCATAGCCAAGTCCTTGTTGCATCAGATATGATGGCTTATGTTATTAAGTGATAACATAGTTCTATATAAAATGTGATGCATTCATAGTCCAGAGCATGATGTGGCTGACATCATGATTTGGGTCTTTATGATGCTTAGCTTATTTCTAATTTTCCATGTGGAATGCATAATTAATGGTAGCATATATTTCTATATGAAGTTATGTTTTCTTCAACTGGACATGACATATTCTCCTCTAATATGCGGTCGTCCTTTATTTTTATATTAGTAAGAAGCAGGAACCAAAGGGGCCAAATATTTTGCCAGTGCCAGGAATAAAGTTTATTGGTGAAACTTCTGTCAATTCCTTGAGTGTATGGATTCAAAGCTCTCTCTCTCACCATTTGTATGAAACTAGATATCTTTATGTCCCTCAGTTCCTAGCTAGAAATTTTTTATGCCGGCCCATTATCTATTACTGGTTGAACTTGAATTTCCTTACCGGGAATCTTGTCATGTATCCCCCTCAACCACTAGTAGTTTAACATATTTTCTTTGCCATGTCAAAATTCCTGAAATTTATTCACTGATGAATTTTCTATCTTCATTGGATTTTCCATAATAAGATTTATGCAACAAATTTTAACTAAGATATCATGTAGTGCTTCTATACAATAAATTCTATGTATGTAAATCGGGACCAAGAATTTCACTGATATGCTTGGTTTTTAATGTTACAGGAAATAATGAAGGAGCAAACAGGGGTACCAGTGCTGCAAGTTCAGCAACCCCACAGAAAGTCTTACCCATTGAAGCACCTGCATTTTCATTAAGCGAGCTGAAGAAATTGACTAATAACTTTGGATCAAAATACTTCATAGGAGAGGGTTCATATGCACGGGTTTACCGTGCAAGTATGCATAACGGACAAACTGTGGCCTTAAAGCAACTAGACACGACTGACCAAGAAGAGCTTGATTCTGAATTTATTGCACAGGTAATCAGTGTTTTACAAGACAGACTTGGGTCAAGACTCGGTAGGATCTCGAGCCCATGTCAGGTGGGCCAACTCAGCCGAGTCTTGTTGATTCTCAACTGATTCTCCTGAGAAGAGGCATTGAAAGTGTCAAAAAGTGTGCGGCTGAGTCTCATGGTATTTGTACAGGACTTGTCAAGTCCCAAGGTAAGTTGGCTTGGGTAAGTCCTGAGTCAACTCTGCGGGTTTTAAGACACTGCTGGTAATTATTTAGGCAGAAAAAACCTGTGATATTCAAGGAATTGTGAGCGAACCCGCCAGGGGACTGGGGAGGGGGAGAGAGAGAGAGAGAGTTCTTCTGTTATATATTTCAACTATTGTTGCTTTCGATTGCATCTTGTTATACCCCATTGGCTTTCTTATGTTTTGTTGTGATTCTTTTAACTCAGTTGTCCAGGGTTTCAAGACTGAAACATGAACATATAGTCGAGTTGGTGGGATACTGTTTAGATGGGAATACTCGGATTTTGGCATACGAATTTGCGACACTTGGTTCATTACATGATGTTTTACATGGTAGATTCACAAATTTATATCCCCCTAGTGCTTTTCTAATAGTGTACTACAAGAAACAGAACCATGGAAAAACCATAGTATATTGGGTCATCAATGTTCATTGAAATGATGGACAGTGATGAAGAGGTACTACAATGCACCAGTGGGTCATATTCTCATGAGTCCCACTCTCTCTCCATCACTGCCCATTTTAATGGATGGCAATGACCCAAGAGGTCATGCTTCTGCCATAGTCTCTTAGATTTTCCCCCCTCCTCCTTTTTGAGGTAAAAAATAGGAATCTGGTATACTTTCTCCTCACTTTATTGTAATGAAAAATCCTTCCTTGGTTTCTTCCTAACCTTTGGAGAGCTGTTTCTTATTCATTTATTCTCTCTCAATTTTTTATTAGGGAAGAAAGGTGTTCAGGATGCTCAACCTGGTCGTGTTCTTGACTGGAATCAAAGGGTGAGGATTGCTGTTGGTGCAGCAAAAGGACTGGAGTATCTCCATGAGAAAGCTCAGCCTTCGATCGTTCATCGTGATATAAGATCAAGCAACATTATGCTCTTTGATGACTTCACAGCCAAATTAGCTGATTTCAACCTCTCCAACCAGTCTCCTGACATGGCATCTCGGCTTCATTCTACTCGTGTATTGGGAACCTTTGGATATCATGCTCCTGAGTGAGCATATTTTGGCCAAATCTATATGAAAATCCTATTATGAAAAAGTAGGCTATAACATAGTGGACGATGGAGAACTACAGTCTGTTGGTTTCATTATTGTTTCATGAAATGATGAACAGTGATGAAGAGTGTAACCCACCAGAACAGGGCTTGATCCTACTGGTGAATCCCTCTCTGTCATTACTCTCCATCATCTCATTTTACGCGATTTCCCCCATGGACTATGGTTTTATTGCGTACATTTTAGTAAATCTCCAGTTTGCTTATTGTGCTTGTTTTTTCCATTGAGAAAATTTTTCAAAATTAAGTATTGTAACAAGAATTTTTATTTTCTACCATATTTCTATAGTACTTTTTTTGGAAATTTCAGTGTTTTTTTTGCTGCCCTTTTAATCTAGGATTCAAATTAAAGAACATTTTTTAACTCAAATCTTTATGCGAGTATGTCCACCCAATTTGTAATTTTCAGGTATGCAATGACCGGGCAGCTAACGCAAAAAAGCGACGTATACAGCTTTGGAGTGGTTCTTCTCGAGCTTTTGACAGGAAGAAAGCCAGTTGACCACACAATGCCTAGAGGACAACAAAGCCTGGTCACTTGGGTAATTGATTAAAACCATAATTAAATATGGCTACAAATTACTTTGCGATTTTACATATGTTTCTGAAGCATTCTACTTGGGAGTCTTGGACACTACAGTTTCATGTAATCTTTTCTCTTCATTGGTAGGCCACTCCTAGACTGAGTGAGGATAAGGTTAAGCAATGTGTAGATCCAACCTTAAGGGATGACTACCGACCTAAAGCTGTGGCCAAGGTATGATCCATGATGCACGGAAAAGATCATTCGTGCTCGAGGGTTTATGATACAAACATGAGCTTCGATGCACATGTTATAATTTCGCCTTAAGAATATTATTATATTTTTCTTGTTTATAATTAACTTACATTCAAATATTCCTATGGTGGATGTAGATGGCTGCAGTTGCAGCACTCTGCATTCAATACGAATCGGATTTTCGGCCTAATATGACTATTGTCGTCAAGGCTTTGCAGCCACTGCTAAACCCAACACGGACAGGAGCAGTGGAGCCAAGTATCTGAAGTAAGCGTAACCATGTTTGTGAGGTTTGTAGAACCACTTATTTCCATTCTCTCTCTCTCTCTCTCTCAATCTCTCTATATATATATATATATATATAGGAAAGAGATGGGATTAGCCCACTAGTTCATATGAACATATAAGCCCAACGTTCCAGATTGAATCTGTATAGATCTGACGATCACAGATGTCCGATAGTGTTTGAATTTTAGTTTTTTTTTCTACAAATCTAAATGACTTGAAATTTTAGGAATGTGTTTATCAAAAAATAGATGAATCTTCGAAAACTATCAAAAAAATATTTTATATGAATTAAATTGACCATAATACGCCCGAAAAAATTTATGAGGTATTTTAGTCATTTTATTTTTTACAAATAATTTTTTATATATATTTTTATTAGATGTGTCTTGATGAGAAGAACGCACACCTAAAATTTCAAATGATTTGGATCTGTAAAAAAATAAATAAAATTCTAACACTATTAGACATCTGTGATCGTCAGATCGGCCCAAATTCAATCTAGGTCATTGGACTCATATGTTTATATGAGCTAGTAGGCTAATCCCATCTTTTCCCATATATATATATATATATATATATATATGAAGATACTACAAAACGCTTATAGGCGAAAATGAACAATGATTTCGCTTATCCTCATCACCATCCAAATTTCATCGCACGGTTACAGTTGTCCAGTAGTATTTCATTTTTCATTTTTTTTTAACTAATCAGAATGATCTGAAATTTAGAACGTGTATACCACTTAATGACACCTAATCAAAATATAAAAAAAATAATTCACAAAGTATAAATTGATCAAAATACCTCCGTAAATTTTCGGTTAAGGTGACCATTATTTAGTATATCGCTTGCAAACGCAGGTGGAGAACTTTGAATTCAAAGCGAACAATTGGCCTTGGGCCCATAGCTATTGTTGGAAAGACAACTAGCTGCTGTGAAAGCAAAGGACAACTGAAAGTAACCCATGCTGGCGTCGTAAAACCATTTATGTATATTTCCCTCCTTTTCATTTTTTTTTTCTTTTACTTCATTATATCAAGAACCTGCAACCTGTTCATGTACTTCAACTGATTGTGAAAGCTCCCCTCTCTCTATCCATGTTTTTCGGTTTGATGAGGGAAAACCATCATATAGAAATTATTAAATTATTGAATTTAGTGGATATACAACTTCTATATCTTTTACCTAGAAATATCGAGAACAGATTTTTTCCCTGCAGTCAAGAGTCTTTCAAACAATTACTGATTCGTTTGGTTCATGTTTAGACCTTGTGTAGGTTACACCCGAAAAAAAACAAAAACAAAAGAAAAGAACTTTAAATAGCATGGAAATATCTGGCTAATGATCAAATTCTCTGGCAATACAAAAAAAGAGGGTTTCTACCCATCTAATTTACTAATAAGAACGACATATGAGAGAGAGAGGGAGAAAGAGAGAGAGACTAAACATGAATTTATTTCTTCTTCCCCTAGAACAAATGATAGCATGAGTTTGATAAATTGTTCCTCCCTACTTTACAAGAAACTCCATCATTAATGGTATTAACAGCCATGACAACGGCGCTTTATGCTGCATTAGAATGTTCCATAGATTGCTTTCCTAAAACATATTACTTTCAGTAGTTCAAATGGATGATTTGGGCCATAAATGACCATGTGCTTTGGTACAACCCATCAGATCTATTCACAAACTAATTGCCTTTTACACACATATCAGGATATAGCCAACGCACCATGATATAATCAAGCATTAACTAGTAAAACTACATTACAAAGTCTTGGCTTCTCACACTGAACTCCATCCATGGGTTGAACAGAGAAAGTAAAAGAAACAAAGTAGTTAACATAAGGCAAGAAGCCTTACTACATGTTTGCTTAACTATGAAAGCGGTGCGCTAGTGCACCGTAACACACCATTTCTTCTCTCTCTGGAAGTCTTCAGCTCGGTTCTCCCAGAGTTTATCTTTCTCTCTAGAAGATTCAAACTCGGCCCTCCCACAGGCAATCCAGGCCTGCATTGCCACCTTTGAGAAGGGTCTCCACATCTTTTGGGGGATTCATACCAAGCTTATTAGCTCTCTCCCATCGCTCGAGCCTAGTGAGCCCTATGCATGGACCATAGCTCATGTTCATATCAAATCGGCGTAAGACCTCCTCACATTGATCAAAATCACCTGTTGATACCAACAATGAAGAAAACCAGTCATTCAAAAGAATCACAGAGAAAAAGCATTTACAGATGATTTCCTTGAGCCTTGTAGTCACTGGTTAGATATTTCTCATGGCACAAAACAATGAGTAAATTAGAAGTACAAAACGTCTGTCTCTCTCTAGCATGAATAACCTAAGGCATCCAAGATTCACGACTCATAACCATCACATGTTAGAAAAAGACAGAAGGCTACTTAGGAACAACAATTAACAGTGAAAAATTGGGGGCCGATAATCATAAAACATGGGACAGACACTTGTTCAGATTTGTACGCTATACTCAAAGGTTTCCAAAAAGAATAGTTCACATCCCAGGTTGCAGGTTCCAGCCCCATAATTACGAGAGAGAGAGATCAGAGTCAGAGAATAGTACATCCAAATTCTTGAGAGACAAAATTACAAACAGATACTAATTCATTATATCAGAAATCAGTTAAATTTCATGAATGAAAACAAAAACAGAACGGTTCTAGTTCATAACCAGTATCAAACTCAAATCGTGAAATAATTCACAAACTCCCTAAATCTAAACCTTTACTCAATAGCAAACCCTACATTTATTTTCAATGTAAATGAACCAACAAAAAGAAAGGCCAGAGACTATGGACTTTCCACTAATCTTCAGTTCCAAATCCTACCATTAAACAAAAACTACAGATATTCTTTTAGATTTTGATCTGCTATTACAGATAATGGAAACATATCTACGAGAGATAAAAAACCTAATAATCAAATAAGGGGATAAACTTTGGAGAGAAAAGCTAAAGAGACGTTTAATGTCTATGGAGCCATGAGAGAGTAGGGCAGGTGGTTGTGCAGGATCAGAATCAAGCCTGACACCAGACTTTGAAGGCTTGGAGGGCTTGGTATTGTTGTTCTTCTTCCTCTGCCTGTAAAACGCCTTTATGTCACCCCCTCCTCCTCTCACTGAAGCCATTCTTTATCTCTCTAAACCAAGTAAACCTCTTTCTCTCTCTAAAACAAGCAAACCTTTATGGCTCTCTCTCTTCTGTAGCAAGACTACAATTTCAAATTTCAAATTTCAAATTTCAAATTTCAATTTCTTGCCTTTGTTCTTATACCAGTGTTCCTCGCTCCTCGCGCTTGAGGGGTATTGCTCAGATCTTTCGAAAATTCACAAAACACCCCTTACTTTTCTGTTAATGACAAAAATCTTCCTGATTCTCATTACGTTCAATGATGAAAAGGAAAATTGTTTCAAGCGCGATGGACCGCATTTCTACATGTGCTGTCCAAAAAAGTGTAAAGCAACCATCTTCAAGATAAATGCAAGTAGGTGTTTCAGATAAAAACAATGAAATTAACGATCCAAATGTTTTTTTATTAGAATTGTTATTTTTAATTTTAAATTTTTTTTTTTTTATATTCATGATCTCCATGTTAGAGTTTACATGTCTTTAAAAATTAAGTCCCAAAATCCATCGCAAAAACGTATTTCTACATATGGGGGCCTTGGTCGCATAAAAACTGGATCTTGATTAAAAGGGAGAAAATATAAATAGAAATAAAAATAAATAAAACCACTCGGGGTTAAATTGATTGTTTAGAGCCTAGGCTCTATACAAACCACATCTACTCTATATATTTGAAATTCAGTACAATTGTTGTGCATTGCCAAAAAAAATACATTGTATAGGATTAGTTATTAGGAGAAAGTTTATATAGAGCCGAGGCTCTAAACAATCAAATTCGAGCCTATCTCAAAATTTTCACTAGAAGAGGTTGTTTTGATGCTCAAATATCCTCAACTTGATCATCTCGACATCAAGATGCATGGACATGAGAAAAAAATGGATTTTAAGTTTTGAAAATAGTGTATTTTGTAACGTATTTTTGGACCGTCAATTTTCAAGATTTTCAAGTTTTCATATATCTGTCGATCTATACTATTTTTGAAGCTTTAAACTTTATAAATAAAAATAAGATAAATTATCGCTAATATACCTATATTTTCCTATAATCGAAAAAAAAAAAATCCAAATTTTCAAAATCTCACCTGCACCCTTTCTCACAATTTTCAGCTTTTTTTAGACCAAAATAACCTCCACGATAGTCTTTTTACAGTAAAGAACATTACAGTAATTTAAATACTATAATAAGTTGAAGGAGTATTACGGTAATTAAAATATTGCAATACCTTAAAGTAGTATTACGGTAATTAAATGCCGTAATAAGTTGAAGACTATTACGGTAATTAAAATACTGTAATACCTTAAAGTAGTATTACGGTAATTTAATTACCGTAATATTGCCCAAGCCTCACTTAAAGAACACAAAAGATTTTCTTATCTCTCGGGAGTCTACTATCTATTTACTCCCTCGATAAAAATCCAAGCTAGCTGTATTTTTCAAATCTCAAATTTTTTAGGATATAATCTCTACTACTTATAGAATAATTTCAACAAAAGAAATTTTCCAAGTAAATTCTTCTGTATATTAGAAAAACCTAATACTTCAAGATTTAATAGAAACTATCCAATTTTCAAAGTAGCTAGATTTAAGTGTCGCAAAACTTACGATTCAACTCTTTCAAAAATAATTTAGTAATTTTTATATGGTTCTCAAAATTTTAGAACAAAAACATTCTTAATAGGTGTTTTTGAGCGAGGGAGTAGATCCACATTGTGCTCCCATGGGAACATGGATTTTTTGAAAAATGAAAAAGGGGTAGCCCTAATATTAGCTTCGGTTTGAAGCTTTTCAACCAATAGGGGTTTGGAATTGATGCGGAAAGTATTACGGTAATAAGAATACCGTAAAGACTTCCCCACACATTACGGTAATTACATTACCGTAATAATAATTCAAACTATTATCGTATTTAAATTACTGTAATACTCTTTGAATTTTTTTATGGTGTTTTGATTACCGTAAAGCTTAAACTGTATTATGGTAAAAAGCCTGCCGTGAAGGTAATTTTAGTCCAAAAAAAGATAAAATTTGTAAGAAAGGGTGTAGGCAAGGTTTTGAAACGTTAGGGTTTTTTTTTTTTCCAATTTTACTAAAATAAAAGTATATTAGCGATAATTTCTCTAAAAATAAAAATATATTTAAGGCTATCACAAATTCTTTCAATATTGAAACCACATGTCTTGATACTATTTGAAGGTAGGCTCTAATTTGATTGTTTACAGCCTAGGCTCTATACAAACCGCACCCTTAGTTATTAGGCATCTT